CAACAATCTTTTTATCAAATTATTACAAACCAAAATAATAACAAGGCTACAGACAACCTTCACAAGTGAATCAATTTGCAGTTAAAATTGCTCAACAATTTATCACAGTACTTGGGCATAAAACACAAATAGTTAACCACAGCAATAGAAAACGAAATACCATATCCTCTTTTCCAGCACCTCTTTTTGGCCGGTGCTTGCCACCTCCTAATTTGCAGCATTTGCCAAAAGAGAAGCTATGTGGTCTCTTTATCATCTAGCTCCATGTGAACAATTGGGTCTCTTCACGGCTCGACTAATTTTTCTCTGGTATATTTATGCATCACTTCCATAAAAATATCGCGACACATGCAAGTCTGCTCAGCTTGTACTAAAGGTTCTTCATCAGATAAGTCATTGTACAGACATTGCAAGTTAAATTGAGGCATATAGGAGCGAATGAAGGCCACATTCTCATTCGGTCCAACAAGTCCGACAAAAATAAAATTATCAAAGTAATATAGACAAACCTAATAGCATCAGACTTCAAACCCACCTCAAAATCAAACATTTTCATGACAATAATGCCAAAATTCACAAATTTGAAATGTTTATCAATAACATAGAGAATTTTACCAAGCTCCGAGATCACTGAAGACACATCTACTGTCGGAAAGGTGTTCAGTGCAAACCGTTGATGAAGACATTGAAATCTCATTGAAAGAGATAAGTTTTCATAACAATTTTTCTAAATTCAATCATTTTTTTCAACCTTAACGAACCGGTCAATCTCACCAGAATGCTCTTGAAGGTAATGAGTAGACATAGATTCCTTGTCGTTACGGGGAGTTTTAATAGCCTGTTAATAACTGCTGGACTCAATTCCAACACATGCCTATGATTATACACCTTGTGGAACCATGACGATGTCAGATTCTGACCCATGACATTTAGGTTAACGTAGAAATTCCGCACAAGTTTTCGATAAAAGCGATTTAAACTTGTTGCCCAAACAACAATTCTTTTTCCTCCAAGTATCAAATAAAATCAATTTTATTGTAGTTAAGGTGATCAAATAGTACGGATTGAACAAAGTCTTTGGTTACCAACACCTTACGCTCATGGTTTTTGTTTTCTTTGACAAAATAAGTATGACTCAATGCATTATTTGCATTGATAGTAGGCATCATTCTCGGCACTTCATTTTTTATTTTTGTTTAACTTAGACGGGCCAACAACATCCGTATGTTTATGTTTCTTGATCACAATAATAGAAGACAAAAGGAATTCAAAATCAGTACTTCCTCAATATCAACAGATTGTCTTTCGGGGATTGTAGCTCTGATTTGATTAGCACCTTGATTCTCAATTATTTCAGCAATTCTTTTTTTTTTTTTTTCAACAGTTTCGGGGATGTTCACAACTTCATATTGTTTGTTTACCAGTAACTTCCACTTCTGTTGAGGTTCTTTCAGTCTTATGTTCAACAACTTATTCAGTAGACCGATTTTAACTTTTTTCTTCATTTGCTATTTGGTTTCAACATGTTCATCAATGGCTCTGCCAAAGTCTTTCAATTAATATTGTTTGGTTTAGATTTGGGGAGAATGTCCGTTATATCAAAACCCAGATCTAAACCAAACAACATTGATGAAAAGCCTTGACAGAGCCATTGATGAACATATTGAAACCGAATAAACAAATGAAGGAAAAAACTAAAATCGTTGTACCGAAGAGGTTGCTGAACAAGAAATTAAAAGAGCCACAAGAGAAGTGAAAGTTGTGAACAATTTGGGCATAGAGTTATGAACATCCCTGAAACTGCTGAAAAGATAACTACCGAATTGATCTATGATTAAGTTGCTGATCAAATTAGAGTTACAACCCCCGAAGGACAACTCGCTAATATTGAAAAAGTAAGTCCCGATTATGAACACCCTCTATCTTCTGTCATTTATGATGAATAAATATAAACAGACAAATATTGTTGGACCATCTAAGTCAAAGAAGAATAGAAGCAAGGTGCGGAGAACAATGTCTACTATCAATTCAGGTGATGCATTGAGTCATACTTATTTTGCAACGGAAAACAAAATTAAAAAAAATATAAGAGCGCAAAGTGTTGGTAATAAGAGACTTTATTCAAAAGTTATGATTTGATCACTCTAACTATAATAAAATTGGTTTTATTGGATACTTGAAGGAAAAAGAATTGTTATTTTGGGCAACTAGTTTAAATCACTTTTGTCCGAAACTTGTGCGGAAATTCTATGTTAGCCTGAATGACAAGGTTCTTGATCGGACATCGCTATGATTCCACAAGGTGTATGATCATAGAATGTGCTAGAATTGAGTTTAATAGTGATTGATAGATTGTTAAAACTCTTCCAAAACAACAAGAAATCTATGCCATTTAAGTACTTTCAAGAGCATTCCAACGATATTGTCGGTTCGTTACAACTAAAAAATGATTGAATATGGAAAAAAATATTATAAAACTTATCTCTTTCAATAAGGTTTCAGTGTCTTCATCGACTATGTGCACTGAACATCTTTTCGACAGCAAATATGTCTTTTGTTGTGCTTGGAGCTTGATAAAATTCTGTTTGCTATTGATAGATATATTGGATTTGTGAATTTTGGTTTTGTTGTCATGAAGAAGATGCTTGTGGTAAATTTAAATTTTGATGCTACTAGGTTTACTTACTCTACTTTGATAACTTTGTGTTCATCGAAGAATGACATTGTTGCTAAACCGAACGAGGAGGTGGTCTTCATTCACTCTTATATGCTTCAACAAGGGTATGAATACGGCTATGTTCAGTGCAGGGTAATCAATACGGTCGTGTTCAGTCACCTTCTCAGTCATCCAAAAACACGACCGTGTTCAATCTCAGTCAACAATAATGAGACTAAAATTGATAAAGTTCATTTGAGTTGGAACAAAATTGATAAAAAAAAATATAAAAATTAAATGAGATCAAAATTGATAATTATGATATTGAATGAGACAAAAATAATTTTTGTTCATATATTTATATTAAATTTTGGGTAAATTATAGAATATTTCTAAGATACATTTTATGTAATTTGATACATTTTGGTTTATAAAAGAATAATAAATATTAAGAAATAAACATATAATACACATCTTCAATCTATTTATGAATTATGTTTATGTAATTGTGGTGTTAATTCATAATATATAATTTTTTAATTTATGAATAGATTCCACTTTCTTAATGGATAGTCGAGTTTTAAGTTCAATAATTCTTCACTACCGAACGACAAACGTGCATGTTGGTTCGGAGTTAGAAATTTTATTTTGATTAATGTAATTTGTAAGAGATAATTAACTGTTGTATTTTAAGACAATCTTCTAATTTTTATGTTTTTCTCTTATGTAATGAAGTATATACTTTAATTATTTTTTTTAATGCAATTTTATTTGTTTCTTTACTAAAAAACTTTTAATATATTTTTCCAAAAAAAATTAATATACTAGGTGTGTTTGTTTGGAGGTTTGGATTTTGAGTTGGGATTTGAATAGTAAAAATTTTGAATTTGAATAGTTGTATAATGTGATATAAATAGGTGTTGATGTGATGTTTTGAATGTAAAATTGATTTTTAGTATAATATAAAAAATGAAAAATAGGTGTTTGATTTGATATTTTTGGGGGAAAAAAATTGGATGAATAGTGAAAAAAAAAATCCAATCCCTCAAACAAACATGTAGTATATATATTTATTAATTTTTATATTATTTATATAATTTTTTATAAAAATTCCGTATTATATATATTTTATTGAAATATAAGATAAAATTACTTACATATATATTTTAAAAATATTGACATCATTACTTATATAAAAAATAAAAATAAAAATATTATTAATTTATACATATTTCACTACTTAAATAATCTTATACGAAAGAAATCGATCATAGGATTTGGACAGGGTATTAAAATTCAATTTTAAATTTAAATCATAAGAAAAGCACTAAGTGGGTTTGTTTATGAGTTTTAATTTTTGAGATTGGATTTTTAAATAGTAAATTATTGAATTTGGACAGTTGTTTGATGCGAGATGTGTTTGACAAGTAGCTGATAGTCGTTAGCTGATTCGATTAACTATTAGTTGTTTGCTGATTCGATTAATTGGTTTGACTAGTTGATTCGATTAGTTATTTATATTAAAGTGTTTGGTAAAATAAAAATTTGATATTATCTGTTTATACATAAAATGACAATTAAAGATATTTTATATTTTATTTTCAAAATGTTTAATTGAATTTTTTAGGTGGATAGATTTTTTTAGAATTTTATTATTAATTTTAAAAATTTAAAAAATTATATTAAGATATTTATTTTTATTATTTTTTAAATATTTTGTAAATAATTAATACAAATTTAAGAAAAAATATATATATTTTTTCATTAGAAATAGTATAAATATAAAAGAACAAAAACCATTAGTATATGTATTTTTATTAGATTATTTTTTAATTAATATATATTTATATTAAATTTATAATTTTAAATAAATATATTCATTTTTAATAAAAATATTATGCGATAAAAAAATTATATAAATGAATAATAATATTAATATTTTTACATTATCTGTATTCTAAAAAAAATTTAAAAAAATTATAAATAATATAATTGATATATAAAAAATAATTATTTTTAAATTTATAAATTTGAATAGTGTAATTTAAAAAATATTAATATATATAAAAAAAATTAATTAATGAAAAAAATTAAAATGAAAAAACTAATACGATACGATGAATATACAATTTTTTTAAAATTATATTTTTGAATCCTAGAAATTAATTGAAAAGCTAATTTATCAAACATAAAAAACTAAAAATTATTCTGGTGATATTTTTAATATAAAATAAATTTAGATAGTAATAAAAAAATAATAATAATTATTTGACTATATTTTATTTTTAGGAAATTTCAAAAAAATTGTCACTAAGCATTGTTAAAAGCCACAAAGGAACAATAATTTGCCCTAAACAAATCGATTGAGTTTGGGGTGGTGCGGTGGTTCTCGGATTGGATTTTTAGTTTGGACGGGGAGTATAAAATCACATCGTTCTCGCATCGGGGTCGCCGGCGGTCTGTAGATTGGTGTACAGAGACAAGCAAAAATCAACCCTTCTCCGGCCAGTGGAACTCTCAAGTGTTGAAGACAGAGGGCTCTTTGCCGTTGTCGCAAGGTCGGTAACTCTTGAATTCTATTCATCTTTCCCGGAAAATCTTACAGGAAGAACGACCCTACCGAATCTTCCTCTTTTCATGTTATTTACAATATTCCTTTTCTGATTTTCCCTATTGAGGCTGGAAATAGCGCTATCGATTCAAAGTTGCGTGTTCGTGCAGCGGTATTCAAGTAATTGTTTCAATTTAACTCTGCGCGACGCAAAACAGAAATATAATCAATTTTGTTGAACACGTATTTGATGTAATTGGCCGAAGTATTCTGTAGTATTACTTCCTTATAGTGCAATGCTGTGTGTTCTTGATGTATGGCAGTAGCGTGTTGAGGGAATTTCACGTGTTTTCTCCTACAAACCGCAGCTGTTCCAATGGAGGCTGACAGGTACCGTCTTTTGCAGTTTGCCAGTGGACTTTATGATGTTTTGTATTGATAAGATATGAGGGATAATCATCTGTGATTTGCATAATATTTTGTCCATTTTTGGTTTTTGTTGGTAAACTGTAGGTTCATACATTGTTTGTTGAACTTTATGTTCATATCTTGTTTGGCTATATTCTATGCTCTTTGTTCTTTAGAAGTGATCATAAATTTAAAGAGGTTTGTCATTTTCTTACCTCAGGCTGAATTCTCCGGATACATCAGTAGTTACATTTGAAGTTCTAGGTCATCAGCTGCAGTTCTCACAGGTAGGAGTACATCAACGAACTTAAGATAGTTTTCGGGCAAATTCTTCTTTCTGGATTCATTTCATAAATGATACCTTATTCAAGTCCTCACCTTTTAATATATCCGCATGTGTGTGTGTAATAAAGAATCGTCTGTTATTAATCAATCACATGACTTTTATGTATGACTATGGTGGTGTGCCATGTTTCTTTTGCCTATAAATGTTCTGTGACATTGCAGGATCCTAACTCTAAGCACTTAGGGACTACGGTATGGGATGCTTCAATGGTGTTTGCCAAGTTTCTGGTAAGCGGGCACTTCATCATTTTCTTGTACATCATAATTAAATTGTAATAGTGCTTTGTGTTCACATCCCTTCCAATAAAGATAGCCGTTGGATGGTTACATCACTCAAAGGTTTGAAATAATTTCTTCAGTACCTTTCTTGATTTGAGAAGTTTACACTAATTATTAAGAATCCGCTCACTGGTTTTAATCCTTCCTGTGATCGATCAGCCTAAGCCCCTTTTGATTGTTTCAGATGACTTCTTTATCTCACGCTTAAAACTATTGTACTCTTGGGTCTTGGCCATGTTTTGTTTGATTGATGGGAATAAGTTCTGAATGATCAACAGATGACTATGTAATTTAGAGCATATAATTGATTATATCTGCGTAGTTCATTTATTGTTGGCCGATAAGTAATTAGACTTTCATCAGTTAATTGAGTTTTGTGATCATGCTTGAAAATAAAGTCTATCAAGCCAAATGACTCAAACTAAAGATGCCCTTTGGATTATGAATACTTGGGTGTTCAATTCCTTGGAAATTCCTCCCTTAAAAATAAATTCTATCAAGCCGAATGACTCAAAATAAAGATGCCCTCTGGATTATGAATGCTTGGTTGTTCAATAACTTGGAAATTCCTCCAGCTTATTCTTATGTTTATGCTTTCTTTTTCACTTTTAATTTAGTTATATGATATCTAGCATATTTAGCATTCTTACGAAGTTAAAAGGGTCTGATTATATTTTATTGTTTACAAATTTATGAATTAAACTGATCAAACTTCACTTGTTTACAATGAAGGAAAAAAATAGTAGAAAGGGAAGGTTTTCACCGTCTAAACTGAAAGAAAAACGTGTAATTGAACTTGGAGCTGGCTGTGGGGTGGCTGGGTTTGGTATGCTTTTTTGTCGACACTTTTCAAATCAATTTTAGGATGGTTTTCAATTTGAGACCAATGATTAACCTGCAGTAATTCCTCAGGCATGGCTCTGCTGGGCTGTGATGTCCTGTCAACCGACCAAATTGAGGTTCTGCCTCTGCTTAAGAGAAATGTTGAACGCAATATATCTAGGATAGTGCAGACGTGTCATGATTCAGGTCTCTGCATCACTTTCTCATTCGTCGTAGTATTTCAACTTCTGGGTTCTTGTTCAGCTTCTTCTGTAAATAGTTTACAGTTACAGCAAACTGATTGTTTCATTTTCAGACTCCTTCGGTTCCATCGTAGTCACAGAGCTTAACTGGGGTGATATGGATCAGATAAAGTCATGCAATCCACCTTTCGATTATATCATTGGCACCGATGTTGTGAGTTACTATTCCATGTAATATCCACATTATATGCAGGTTTCTTTGTTTTTCTCGATGTATATAGCTTTGTACATCAAATGCCTAGTATTGATTGTTTAGTTCTTGTTTGACATTTCTTCCAATTTACTCATTCAGGTTTATTCAGAGCATCTTTTGGATCCTCTGTTGCAGACAATACTTTCATTGTCCGGCCCACGAACCACTGTTTTGGTATTTCGCTATCCTGACATACAAATACTCCTCAACTCTTGAACTGGAGAGTGTAAACACTCAAATTTTCTGTTGGAAAAATGTTGTGCAGTTAGGGTATGAGCTTCGTTCAACAAATGTCCACGATCGAATGCTTGATTTATGGAAAAGAAATTTTGAGGTTAAAAGTATTCCTAAAGCAAAGGTATGGCTGTAATTTTAGCTCACTTAAATCCACAGCAACAGGTGAACGAGGATAAGATCATTTTTAACTTCAATATTTGTTATTTTTTATCCTGCAGATGCACCGAGAGTACCAGCATCCGACTATACAGTTATTTATGATGACCCTAAAGCCATCTAACAATGAGATTGATTGTCGAGCTGAAGAGAGTGAATCTGACGAAACCGAGCAGATATGTAAAGAAAATAAGAATGATTCCGAGGAAGGAAGCTCCCTCATTGACAATCTGCAGGCTAAAAATCTCAGTGATTGGGAAACAAGGAGATGCGGCGCAATGGCTGCTCGTCTTCTTCGGGATGTAAAGATAACATGAACAGATAGGTATGTCTGCTTATTCACGATCTGTTTGTAGTATTATACAATAGTATTTTGTCATAACATGCATATGACATTTTTAATAGAAATGACTTTCGAATTTGATCTTATTATTAACAGTTGCGATTTCAAATAACAGCAAAGGGATCACACAATTGAATTCATCCTGCTCATAACATGTTTACATCTTCAACTAATTAGTCTTTTATCTCGTAAAGAATTGAATTAGATATCGAATCTACTGATATTTTGACGGATGGTTTGCTCGATATGAACATGTGCAGTCGAGTCATCCCCGGCGACAGAAAACCGATCCACATACAAACCTACATAGGATATCAGCGGGGCAGCTCTGGATTCCTCAATAAGAAGCCTCAGGCGACGAGCTTTGACGAACGGGAACAGCAACAGCCGTCTGAATCCCACAGTCGTCCCGTTCGTCGCCTTTTCCCACTCACCCGACTCATTCAAGAAATCCAGACGGAACGCCGCAATCCGCTGCCCCATCTGAATCGGCTCTTGCACGAGCAGCACATTGAAAGAAATCGTCTCCGGAAAATCAAGAAACAGCGTCCAGCTCGACTGTCTGCGCGTCCCATTGGGAGCCCAGTAAGAATATATACTGTCGATGAGAATATTGTGTGCGCCATATCGAGAATCGTCGCCCAAATTGCCGCGGGTGGTGCTCGCAGAGATCGAAGCCCTTTGCGCTAAATTGTCGGAGAAGATGGAGGTTCGCATGTCTGAAAATTCTTCGAGGGCTTTGATGTCTTCGGGGGATATAAGACCCGATGAATTCGGAGGTACATTGAGCAGCAGGAGACAGTTCCGGCCGACGCTTTTGTAGTATAGATCGAGAAGTGCCGAAGCGGGTTTTGGGGATTCCGACGCGTGCCAAAACCATCCGGGCCGGATCGAGACATCGCATTCGGCCGGCACCCAGTCGCGGCCGTTGGGATCGCCTTGTCCTAAATATCTGTCGCCGTGAAAATGCATGTTAGTATTCGAACAAATAAATTCTATACTACCAAATATGTTCAACATATAAACAGCGCGCCGCGCTCGTCGACATAACATACCAAATTCGGGATATTGATTTCTTTGCTATGATTGTAGTTACTGTACTGAATTTTGTAATTCAACACAATACTACATTACATTGAAGTAACAAATCGTATGATAATAGTCTATACAATACACATTCAATTTAACAAGATATATATGTATATATATATACAGCAAATCTTATGAATATATTTTCAAATAACACAGCTTGCAACAAAACAATGATTTTGCCTAGTTTTTCAAGGTTACAAACACTCTAAAGTGAATAAGAGTTAAATCTAATATATTGTAAGTTGATTCTTGTATGTAGATAAATAAATATAGGGCAAATTGTTTTTTTAGTCTCGTAATCGGAACTTTTTTATTATTTTAGTTCCATAATGAGAGTTTGTCGTAAACTAGTTCTGTAAGTAAAAAGAATTTGCACTTTTAGTCCTCCGGCATTAGAGATGTCTATGTGGAACCTATGTGGCTCGCCAGAGAACACGTGTATGTTAGGTGTCGCTGACCTGGCGGACACGTGTCCTCCGGCAAGCCACGCGGGTGCCACGTAAGTATCTCGGGCGCCATACTAAAAGTGCACAAATTTTTCACTTACGAGACTAGTTTACGACAAGCTCTCGTTACGGAACTAAAATGATGGAGTCCAGTTATGGAAAAAAAAATCAATTATCCATAAATATATGGTGAGTATCCTTTTAAACTTAAGCCTTTAGGTGACACGGCTATTTACATCATCTAACAATATCAAAAAAATTCGAATTCACGTATGTACTTGTTTCGCGCGCCAAAAACTTCCTTCATAACCTTTTCCCACCAAAAAATTTCACTAAACCAAATATAAGGAATGACTACGAGTGATATAACGACAACGAGCAGTTTTAGAGAGAGCAATTCAGCGCAATGAGCTAAAATGAACTTACTCGGCATCGCCATGGCCAATTTCAACGGAAGATTGGTTCAAAAGAGACCAGCACGTCGCATCGGCAGAGCCTAATTCATTCCCGATCCATCTTGTGTCCGGACCAGCATCACTGAATATTGCGGCCATTGGTTGATGTTGGTGAATGAGATCAAACCATTCGTCGAAGAAGTACTTCATGTCCTTCTCTCCCTCGCCCTTTGCGCCGTCCAGAAAAACTTCCCTAATCTCGCCATATCTGATCAAATGGACATAAATTCAACATATGAATCCATTCTCGAATACTTATTTCATATTTACGAAAAGAAAATGGAAGAAATATCGAATACTTTGTCGGCCTAACAAATTCAACAGCCAAAATCAGATACTAACGAACATTTTGATGGAATTGTAAAACACATAAAAACATGTTTCATATGAGTAGAGACTTTAGCAAACATTAATTTCCACAAATATGCTCCGATCTACTCGGAATGATATTGCCTTAGTGACTTAACATCGCATATATACAGACAACACATAACAAATAAATAGAAAACTAATCATTTATGTTAATATAATATAAATATTTCACACAATACATGGCAACATTGATCTCACCGCATATTTCATATTACACTAGCTGTGGCAATAGAACTGTTAAACGAATCAAGCCATTCGTGAACTTTACTCGATTTAAACTCATTCACAAACGTAAACAAGTCGAGTCGAACAACATAAATAAGTTCGTTTTGTTAAAGAACGAGCCTGAGCCTTATTTGCAAATGTTCATTAAAATAAAATATTTGTAATATATATGCATATATATGAAATCATTAATTTAAATATAAATAAAATATTATACCTACCCAAACAAGCTTAATCGAGTCGAACACAAAAACAAACTCGAACAATCAAATTGCTTAACAAACGAAACTCAAACACTAAGGGTGTGTTTGTTGGGAGACTTTTCCAAATTTTCACCATTCATCAAATTTCTTTTCCCAAAAATATCAAATCAAACTCTTATTTTTCATTCTCTATCTTATCCTAAAAATAAATTTTACATTCAAAACATCACATAACACCTATTTATATCCCATCATATAACTATTCTAAATCAAAATTTTTCTATTCAAACAAGTCTTTGTCCGCCAACATTATCAAACAAACACAAACACTTATATAGGAATGGAAAGAATGAGAAAGAAACCTTGACAAGAGCAACAATTAAGACTAATTTCCACAAACAGAAAAGATATATAGGAATGGAAAGAATGAGAAAGAAACCTTGACAAGAGCTCAGTCATCTGCCCCAAATAATACTCATTGTACGGAAGTGTCTTCCCATAAGAAGAATCGTGCCTATCCCAAGGAGAAAGATAGATCCCCATTTGCACGCCGGCGGCACGTGCGGCGGCGGCCAATTCTCCGACGACATCGCCGGCGCCGTTCCGCCACGGGCTCGACTTGACGGAGTAATCGGTGTAGTCGGAGGGCCAGAGGCAGAACCCGTCGTGGTGTTTGGCGGTCAGAATGACCCTCCCGAACCCGGCGGCTTTGGCGACGGCGATCCACTGCCCGGCGTTCAATCGGGTCGGGTTGAACAGGGTCGGGTCGGCCCGACCCGTGCCCCATTCGGAATCCGTGAAGGTGTTGATGCCGAAGTGGAAGAAGAGGGCCATGTCTGAGAGCTGCCATGAGATTTGACGCCGGCTTGGGATGGGCAGAATCGGAAGCGGCGGCGGCGGCGGTGAAATGGCGGTGGCGGCGGCGGACGACGGCGGGGATAGGAGGAGCTCGATTGCGGTTGCGAGGATCGATGTTAGGAGAATGTGGTGGGTCGATGGATTGGGTTGCGGAAGTTTCGAGCTGCAGGTTTTCTTGGTCATGTTTGACTCTCTCTCTCTCTAGGTTGGAGAGTGAGAGTGAGATTGAGTTGAAAGATGCTTGGAAGTTGGGGGTTAAATTTGGTACAGAGTAATGAATGTTTGAATCACGTAAATTTTTAATACGTGTTATAAGAGTAATGACATTTGATTTGTGTAATATATTGTAAGTTGTAAGGGTATTTATTATATTAGGTAGATAATACAGTTACTAGAAATGATATGATTGTTCTGGGACGGACACAAATAGAAAATGATATTATTTTTATGGGACAAAGGGAGTATAATAATATTAGCGGCGGCTGCAGTGCTAAATTTTAAAAATTAGCACTATGCTGACAACACACTGCAGCACACGGTGTGCTGTCAAACAGCCCACCATGTTACTAACGGCAACACACCATCTGCATTCATATAATACAAATACTGCACATGAACTAACAGCGCTAACTAACAACACATACTATAGTATTATACAACACATACTATAGTATTATACAACACAAATACTAATTGATTTCAACAAACCACATACTGTTATACAACACACTTGTAATTATGAACCAATAACACAAATACAACACATGCTATAGTCTTATACAACACAAATACTAATTGATTTTAGCACACCAAGTACTGTTATACAACATGCTCTAATTATGAAGCAACATTACCTGTCATTGTTATACACAACATGTTCTGTGTATAATAAGACTGTGTGATATTTATATATATTAAGGATGATTTTTCCATTTCAGCATCTAACTGTTCTCAATAATATTTTTAAAAATATATACAAATATAAAAATATTTTAATGTTAAGTACAATAACAAGTTAAATATATTTTAAAGTGGATGGACGAAGTACTTCAAATCACGCAGAAGTTAAATATACTTTAAAGTGTAAGACGTGGTACTTCAATAAGCATAGAATGTATTTGTGTAAAAATTTCTTATACTTACATTACTTTTTAAATCTTAATTGATTGCGATATAAAATAAAAATATTTTAAAAAATATATGAATAAATTAATATAGTAATTTTTAAATTTTTTTTTTTTTAGTTAAATTGAGTATATAGCTATTTATGATATACATATAAATAAGTAGTACGTTAAATTAAAGAATAATAAAATGTTAGTGGTCTGCAATGATGGTGGTCAGTGCCAGTGAAACAAAATTTTAGTTAAAAAAATAAAAACAATCAAATGTTGACGATGGTATGCAATGATGGCTGTTGGCAGCAGCGATGCAAAATTTTAGTTCAAAAAATAAAAATAATCAAATGTTGGCGATGGTTCACTGGCAGTCGGCGGCAAACGAGATGACGACAATAGTCCCGATTGTGAAGAAAATTGAGGAAGAAACAGACGCGAAAATATATTTGATTTATGAATTGTTAAAATTTGGACCAATCCAAGACCTGCGACCCGAGCCCAACCTGCAATCCAAATCATTTGTCCTTGATCCAACTTTTGTAAACCCGCAACTCGCTTTGTATAGAACTCTTATTCCTCAAATCGATTCATGTGGGTGGGTGGAGTGTGATTTCTCTTTTCTCCTTCGCTTGCGATTCTTTGTGAGATTTTGGGGGGTTTTTCTTCTTGGTGTTGGTTTCAACCATTTCTTCTCGTTGATATCTCCGATGAGTTTTCTTTTTTTTTTTTTTGCGCTGAATGTTAGGGGGTTTGATCGGGAGTGTAGAGTTAAGTTTCGGTTGTTCAATCCCACTACAGAAAAAAATATTATATTTGTAACGGAATTCCGTCCCTAAAGATCACGTAGCTAACGTAATTCTATCATTAATTCCGTCTCTAATATCATTAGTGACGGAAAAAGTGAATTTAAAAATGAAAAAATCTCGTTACAAAAATGATATTTTCTTGTAGTCCGTCAGCTTGGGGTTTGTTTAGAAGCGGTTGGTTGTCACTATCGTATGTCATATACTGCCGAGTCGGCTTGTAGACTGAGCCAAACCATAAGTTTCTCCAATCGGTCATTGGAAAGTCGATTGGACGTCGCTGGGAAGAAATCGCCCGGAGTCGCTCCCTGGAGGTCGTCACCACTGGCAGCCGCTATCCGAGCTACTACTGTTTTCCGATTTTAAGAGGTCGCCGCTGCTTGAGTTTAGGACGTACAAACAGGGAGTCTTATTGCTATTTCTTTCGATTGGATTTTGTTTGTTTAGTTAGTTTTATGTTCTATTTCCAATTTATAATTCTTAAATTGATTTTATGTTCTTGGAACACATTCTTGTTAGAGAATATTTGTTGTCAACAGAATATATAAAAATACAACAGAAATTAAGATACTAGTTTATGTTTATTTTTTTCTAAAAAAATAAATATGTAATATAATTTATATTATATACATTAGTTCTAATAATTATTTAAATATCCGAGTTCGGTTTCGGATCCGAGTGTGATGGATTTTTAGTAAAATTCGTAACTCGCCTTAAATCCGACTGAATATAAAACTTAAAATCCACAACCCGTCTCGAAATATATTTTTTAGACTTAAACCCGCCATATTTGACATTCCTAGTTGGATTTATTTATTTATTGTTAATTTTGATATTTTTTCTTAAAAATAATTGTTCCATACGTTCCATTTTAATCCACATATTTTATTTTTATTTTTATTTTTGTATATTATAACACTTTTCTATTTTTACTAAATCTATTAATATTAAATATATTTAAAAAATATAAAATAATTTAATTAAAATTGTAATATCTTATATATAGGACACACAAAATTTCTAACCTTAGAACTTATTCAAAAAATTTTATTTCTTTATCTCTCATCAATTAATTTTAAAATTTATAACTTCTATTGTGTTAATTAGTAAAATGTATTAGTAAAAATAATTATGATTTAATAAAAATAATTATAAATTAAAATGACTAAATAGTTTAATTAAAATAGAAAAAGTATAAATTATGAATTTTAAAATGCGATTAAAATGTATAATTATATTTCAAAAAGAAAATGACAAATTACGTGGGACGAAATATGAGACAAATTAAGTGGGAAGAAGAGAATATAAAATTTTATCTCTTCTAAAATAATATTCATATTATATATATTTATCTCTGATATAGCCTTTTAAATATTTAAAATACATATTTTAATTTTTTTTAATCATATATACTAATATCATTGCTTACATAAAAATAAATAAATGAACTAATATTATAAATCACTATAATTAAGTATTTCCTATTTATTTTAATCAAATACATGCATTTATTTTGGCATTCTCTAGCAATTTTTCGGCTTTAGACTATCTTATTCTTGTTATCTTTCTTTTTATTTTATTTTATTTTCCTTGTTTATTTTCTTGAGCCTTCCAATCGGCCCAAATCCAATTTATAAAGAAGTATGAATTTGTAATAGAGTATGTCATAATTTCTTTGATTTATTTATTTCAGTTCTTTGATTATACCTTATCACAATTCATTATAAAAATAATTGTTTATTCTTATAAAGGATCATGTACAACTATGGTTTAAATTTAAAATTTTAAAAATCCCTAAAACTCTTATTTTGAGCTTAATACTGTAAATAAAAGAATTTAGGTAAAGTATAATTAATAGGTAATTAAAAAATATATTAGTAAAAATAATTACTCACTCCGTCCCAGATACTATGTCCACGTTTCCGTTTCTGTCCGTTCCACATACCATGTTACTTTCCTTTTTTTTGGAAAATGATTACACACTTTAATCTCATTTTAAATTTTTAATTTTTTTTTTTAATTTTAATTAAACTAATTAGTTATCTTAATCTTAATTTATAATTATTTATATTATAGGATAATTATTTTCACTAATGCATTTTTAATTATCTACTAATTACATCCCTCCTAAAATACCGTGTCTACAGTGTAGCAGACACGGTATCTGGACGGAGGGAGTATTATTTAGTAAAAATAATTATATATTAAAATTAAGATAAATATATAGTTTAACTAAAATTAAGAAAATTATAAAATTTCAAATGCATGTATAATTATATTTTCAAAAATAGAAAGGACAATTTACGTGCGACGGATGTAAATAGAAAATAAAGACATATTACTCTATTTGACTCAGGTATTGTATCAATATTAATGTAGAAACGAAAATTTAGGAGAGATATAAATGTATTAATAAAATAATAAAAAAATATAATACAAATAATTATAAATTAAATTAAGATAACTCATTAGTATAATAAAAATTTTAAAAATTATAAATTATAATATTTAAAATGTGATTAAAATGTATAATAATTTTTTTTTTTTTAAAAAAAAGTGACTTAATATGTGGAATAGTTTAAAATGAAAAATATGACCTTATATATGAGTCAGAGGGGAGGGAGTATAAAAGTATATTTTGTTCGTGGGTTTGAATTTAAATTGAAATAGTTGTATGATGTGATATAAATAAGTGTTGATGTAATATTTCTAATATAAAATTAATTTTTATTATATTATTAAAAAATTAAAAATAGATGTTTTCTTTCATATTTTGAGAAAAAAAATCTGATGAATATTAATTTTTTAGAAAAATTCCATAAAAGAACACACCCTAAATATGTAGACTACATATGCCTTATGTTTTTATACAGACTGAAAAATCTGGAAATATTGGCTTTATTTACACAATATATTTTCATCCATTTGACATTATTCATACTTAAAAAAATATCACATCAAATACATTTTTTTTCTCTTATAAAATATCAAATCAAATATTAATTTTTTATTTTTTTTTCAAACTTTTAAATTCCAAAAACCTCCGAAACCTTTTATATAAACAAAGCATATATTTTTATTATTTTTGAATTATATGTTCTTAGTAAAATAAAACCTCGCTTCATACATTCACAATGTATAAATAATATATTTTTTTTTTACTATTAAAATACAAAATATTCATTTTTTTTTTAATAAATTTGACTATGTTACACATTATAAATACATCCAAACTTCTTCTTACTTATATCAATACTAGAACACGCTATTGGCGCGGTATACCGCGCGACTATTCTATAATGTAATGTAGTGAAACATT